TCAAACCCAACCCTGGGCTGGGTTTCAGTTTTGCTGTCGCTGGCCAGTGAGATGAGGTCTGCAGGCCCCCATGAGATCTTCAGACCTAAACACAGGGAAAAAAAAGGCTAAAAAATATTTTAAAAAATAAAAAATGGTCAGGGGAGCACCAGCAGGGCCATTGGATTGTTGGATTGGGTGATCTTCGAGGTCTTTTCCAAGCTGATTCTGTGAGAAAAGGAGGAGAAGAGCAGGTAGCAGAATTCCTTGGAATTCCCAGGGATGAAGGAGGCCTGGAGAACCTGGCTTGCCCTGCTCTGAAAGCAAACACAACTTTTCTGTCCTCCTGGCACTCATCACACGCTGCTGCAAGGCAGAAATTCACTGACAGGGCTGAAAGGCAGAGCTGGAAACCTCTGGAATATTTCAGGGAGAGGGAGAACCTGGGAGCCTCAAACCACACCGAGGTGGGAGCGGAGCTCAGGGGATGAAATGGATTTCTGCTTTTTCCTCAGGGTATCCCAGGGAAGGGAATTTCTGCTTTTTCCACAGGGTATCCCAAGCAAAGGGAATTTCTGCTTTTTCCACAGGGTATCCCAGGGAAGGGAATTTCTGCTTTTTCCACAGGGTATCCCAAGCAAAGGGAATTTCTGCTTTTTCCTCAGGGTATCCCAAGCAAAGAGAATTTCTGCTTTTTCCACAGGGTATCCCAAGCAAAGGGAATTTCTGCTTTTTCCACAGGGTATCCCAAGCAAAGCGAATTTCTGCTTTTTCCACAGGGTATCCCAAGCAAAGAGAATTTCTGCTTTTTCCACAGGGTGTCCCAAGCAAGGGGAATTTCTTCTTTTTCCTCAGGGTATCCCAGGGAAGGGAATTTCTGCTTTTTCCACAGGGTATCCCAGGGAAGGGAATTTCTGCTTTTTCCACAGGGTATCCCAAGCAAGGGGCTTTGCACATTCCCTGGATTCTGCACTTCTCCTCCTCACTCTCCCATGTCAATCCATCACTGGGGGCAGCCACGGGAGCTGCCAGGCCAAACATCAGCGGGAGCGTGTTTGGATTGCCCAGGAGGGGCTGTGGGATGACACCCACCCCCCTCCAGCCCCCCAGACCCCGGGATCTTCCCCAGGACCACCCAGGCAGGGCTGCACAGGGAGCCCAGGAGCCCTGCCTGCTGTGGAGCACCACTGCTCCCCAGGAAATCCATCTTTCCCCTTGGAAAAAAAACCTCCCCCAGCAATCTCCTTCCTATCTCCGAGGTGTCTCCCAGCCACGGAGGTGCAAATATTTATCCATACTTGGAATTGCAGCCTGAGGCCTGGCTAAGTGTTGCCAGACTCTGGAGCAGTTGTTGTTTTAAGACCTGAACCGTGGACACCTGGCTGGAATTAATCAGGGAGCAGGGAGGCAGAGCAGAGCCCTAATTAACCCTTCCCAATCAAGGCCAAGGTCGCCGGGGCAGCCTGTGTCACCTGCCAGCAGCCTGGCCATCCCAAAGCCAGGAATGGCCCTCCCTGCTCGGGGCCAGCAGGATTTATCCCCACAGGGGGAAGAGCAGCAGGGAGAAATGTTTAAAACCACAAAATCCGCTCCTGTCCGGGCTCTGGCAGCACCCAGGAGGAGCTGGAGCCTCTCCTCAAGGCACAGGATCCACTTTGCACCTCCCGGTTTTGGGTGGAAGGGGTGGATCATTGCAGGAGGTGGGGGATGAGGGAAATGTCGTCATTAGATTGGATATTGGGAAAAGGATTTTCACCAAAAGGGTGGTGGTGGTGGAGCCCCCATCCCTGGAATGCTCCAAAAACGTGGATGTGGCACTTGGGGACGCGGGTCAGAGGCACTGCTGGGTTGATGGTTGGGGTCCATGATCTCAGAGGGCTTTTCCAGCCTTAGCAATGCCCTGATTCCGTGGATTTCACAAAACCCACGAAGACCAAACAGCCCCAGCCCCTGCGAAGGCACCGAGCCCCCAACCCCTCCCACCCCAGCCCCTCCCCAGCCCCCCTGGCTGCCCCCAGACTGCCACAAGGCTCCTGTCCCCTCCTCCAGGGAAGGAACTGACCCAAAATCGGTCCAGGAGTTGGAGCTGCTGCTCCTTGTGGGTCTCAGCCCAGACAAAGCCCAGCCTGAGCTGCCCCCAGGAGGAGCCCAGCTAAACCTGGCTGAAAGCAGAGCCAGGACAGAGGGGGAGCCCCGAGGTGCAGCAATCCCGGGGGAATCCACGGGAATGCTCCCCAAACCCGTCAGGGGAGCTTTGCTCTCTCTGCCTCTCACCCATCACTGCAGAGCAATCCCTCAATCAATCTTAATGCGGCACAGAAACCCCAAATTTATAAAAAACCCCAACTTTACATCCTAAAGCAGGGGGGAGACCCTTCCTGGCCCTGCTCCTGCAGGAATTCGCCCGTTCCAGCAGGGACAGCTGCGTCCCTGCCTGCTGGGGCTTTTCACGGCCCATTGGATTCCATTTCCCTCCCTGCAAAACTGCAGGAACTGGAAAAATGTGGGGACAAAATGGGTCTGGAAGGAGCTGGGAGCTGCCTCCCACGGAGGATGAGGAGGATGCTCAGAGCAGAGGAGCAGGGAGGGAAAAGCACCGAGGGAATATTTGGAGTGGAATTAAAAAAAAATCCCACAGTTCCTATTTTAAATAGGAATATTTAGGAATAAATACACAGTTCCTATTTTAACATTATGTTATAACCTGAACGTGTATTTAACACACTGCTTGAGGAAATTCATACAGCATAACTTTCTAACAAATATTCATCCTAATATTTGTGAAAAGCCAATCATAAAATACACATTTTTCACACTCTGCAGTCTGCACAGACAGCCCCACCTGAGCAGGTGAGGCAGGACCAGGATCCTCCTCAGCAGGGTGAGCTGGACACCCAAAAATCCCTGAGCCAGGGCCAGCCAGGACAGCCCAGCACAATACTGACATATAAAAAAATATTTATTTATATTTATTTTAATTTGAGGGAGGGAGGGAGGGAGGGGAGGGATCTGCTGGGAGGGAGCCACAGGGATGGAACCATGGGTGGGATGGATCCTCTGGGATGGATCCACGGCAGAGAGGGATCCACAGCCAGGATGGAGCCACAGGGATGGATCCATGGCTGGGATGGATCTGCTGGGATGGAGCCACAGGGATGGATGGATCCATGGCTGGGATGGATTCAGGGCAGGGATCGATCCACAGCAGTGATAGATCTGCTGGGAGGGATCCTCTGGGATGGATCTGCTGCCATGGAGCCACAGGGATGGATCCATGGCAGAGAGGGATCCATGGCACGGATGGATCTGCTGGGAGGGATCCCTGGGATGGATCTGTTGGGATGGATCCATGGCTGGGATGGATCCACAGCATTGATAGATCTGCTGGGATGGATCCACAGCTGGGATGGAGCCACAGAGATGGATCCATGGCAGGGATGGATCTGGTGGGAGGGATCCCTGGGATGGAACCAGGGCTGGGATGAATCCTCTGGGATGGATCTGCTGGGATGGATCCATGGCAGGGATGGGTCCTCTGGGATGGATCCACAGCCAGGATGGATCCATGGCTGGGATGGATCCACAGTTGGGATGGATCCATGGCTGGGATGGATCCATAGCTGGGATGGATCCATGGCAGGGATGGGTCCTCTGGGATGGATCCACAGCCAGGATGGATCCATGGCTGGGATGGATCCATAGCTGGGATGGATCCATGGCTGGGATGGATCCCCCCCGGGATGGAGCCCCCGCCCTCCCGCGGCTCCAGAGCCCCTCCAAGAGCCGCTGACAGCCCAGGTTTTCCCAGGGAGAAAAGGAATTCAGAGCGTCCCGATCAGCACTGCCTGCAAATGAGCAGCAGGGAAATAAAATGTTCCCATGAGGAGCAGCGTCTCTCCAAAGTGTCACCCCGTCCTTTCCTCCCCTTCAGGGAGGAGGGAGAAACACAGTTTGGGAAAAGCACCCTGTCAGGTAACACAAAAATTATATTATAAATTATATAAATAGAATGTAAAATTAAAATAAAATTATATATACATATAAATAAAATATTAAAGATTCTATTTTCTAATATACAATAATTTATTTAATAATATATAATAATAAATATTATTATAATAATAATAATTTCCAGGGCAAAGTGCATGAGGAGGAAGGAGAGACGGGAAAAAGGTAAAAAAAATATTTGGGAAAACAGCCGGCACCGGGAGGGGTCCGGTCCTGCCCCGGCCACTCCCTCCCCTCCAGCCCGGCCGGAGCTGAGCTCGGCACAGAATTCCCAGGATGGCAGCGCTGGAAAAGCTCCTCAGTGCAGCCGGGGACACCTCAGCATCCCCGGGGCAAACGGAGCCCCAAAAAGAACATTTTCCCTGGCCAGAGGAGCTGGGCTAAGGCAGAGCGGGCTCGGTGAATCCCCGGGACCGGAGGGAGGCACCTCTCACTCTATCGGGAATGATGCCCCCAAATCCCAAACCCCACATCCCGAACACCTTTCAGATTCTCAGCATAGCATACACCCAAACCCCAAACCCCAAACCCCATATCCCACATTCCCGGCACCTTTCCCTCTCTCGGGAATGATGTCCCCAAATCCCACATCCCAGAGCACCTTTCTCTCTCTCAGGGAATGATGCCCCCAAATCAAAACCCCACAACCCAGGCACCTTTCTGGTTCTCAGGCAATGATGCACCCAAACCCCAAATCCCAAATCCCACATCCCAGGCACCTTTCCCTCTCTTGGGAACGATGCCCCCAAATCCCAGACTCCACATCCCAGGCACCTTTCCCTTTTCTCAGGGAATAATGCCCCCCAAATCCCAAATCCCCCATCCCTTTCCCTTTCCCTGTCTCGGTACCGATGCTCCCAGATCCCAAATCCCCCATCCCTTTCCCTTTCCCTGTCTCGGTACCGATGCTCCCAGATCCCAAATCCCCCATCCCTTTCCCTTTCCCCGTCTCGGGGCCGATGCCCCCGACCCCTCGGTGCCCTCCCCTGCCCCGCGGGCACCGCGGGCTCCGCGGCCGCTGCGGGCAGAGGCTGCGCCCATCCCCGGCAGCTCCATCCCCGGCCGGGCACGGATCTGGAGCCTGGCACGCGATTGGCGCCGCGCTGGCACAGGGAGGGCTCCGGTGCCGCCCCTCCCCTCCTGCAGACCCCCCCTCCGAGCGGATTTGGGAGCGCAGCCATCGCCGGGGGAGCGGCAGAAGCGCGGAGGGGCACGAAAGCCGCCCTGAGCCCGGCCCCGCTGCCCGGCGAGCCGCGGAGCAGCGGCTGCGGCGGGCACAGCCGGCCTGGATGCCTCGCCACGCTCCTTCATCCTCATCCTCATCCTCATCCTCCTCCTCAACCTCATCCTCATCCTCATCCTCATCGCCGGCGCCGCGCGGGGGCCGCACCTGCTGAGCCGCAGCCAGGAGGAGGAGGAGGAGGAGGAATGCGGAGCAGCCGGGGAGGAAGGCTCGCCTTTGTTCCGCTGTGAGCGGTGAGTGCGGGGCTGGGCGGGACCCCGCGCTCGGCTCCTTCTGCTCCCTCCATGATGGAGGGGAAGGGAAGGGGAAGGGGAAGGGGAAGGGGAAGGGGAAGGGGGGATTTTCCAGAGCCTGGGGTGCGTGGGGAAGGGAAGGGAAGGCAGGAAGGGAGGGAGAGGGGGCTCCTTGGGACTGTCCGGGAATGGCAATAATCCTGGGAATGGCAATCTGGGAATGGCAGGCCTGGGAATGTCAGGCCTGGGAATGGCAATAATCCTGGGAATGGCAATCTGGGAATGCTAGTGCTGGGAATGGCAATAATCCTGGGAATGTCAATAATCCTGGGAATGGCAATAATCCTGGAATGGCAATGATCCTGGGAATGGCAGTGCTGGGAATGCCAATCCCAGGAATGCCAATAATCCCGGGAATGCCAGGCCTGGGAATGTCAATGCCAGTCCTGGGAATGCCAGCAGGGAGGGAGCCCTGCAGTGCTGGCAGCCGGCTCTGCTGATCCCAGCCCCTGGAATTCAGAGGATGCTGGATTTGCTCGGCCCCAGGCTCATCCTGAGCACAGGTTCCTCCCCTCAAGGCAAACACTCCTGGATTTGTCTCCTCCGGGTCCTGCCCAGCAGGAAAAACCCTGGGAAGAGCCAGGGGCAGACTCTGCTCTTGGGGATGGACAGAGCAGCCCCAGAAACCACCCCAGACCCTCATCCTCAACAAAAAAAATATTCCTAAATGTTCCCAGTGCTGGGAATGATTGCAGAGTGAGCTCAGGAGCATCCCAGCCCTGCCTGCAGTGGGGCCAGCACAGGAGCTGGTTCCCCTTAGGGTGTTCCAGGGCAGATCCAGGCTGGCCTTGCTCCCTCGGGCAGGATCCAGCTGGGAATGGGGATCTGCTCTCCCCGGACTGGGAAAATCCTGAGCTGGGCTTTGCTGGGAGCTGCAGGCCCAAGGAGTTGGGTACAAAGGTTAGAATTGCTCTGTCTGTACAGCAAAAATGTATTAAAATTATTTTTATATATGGTTCTAAAGGCCCCTGGGGTGCAGTGGGGGTGAAATCAGGATTTTTGGATCTGAGCTCGTTCCCAAGAAAGGCCAGACTGGAACACAGCCCCGGCCTTTGGCTGAGCTGCTCCAGGGGTTCGGATCAGCTGGAGCAGGCAGGACTGGGGTCCCCATCAAAAAGGACATCCCTGGGACAGGGACACGCAGCAGGGGCTGGTGCCTTCCATCCCACCCAGAAATGTGGATTTGGGAATGCCCCAGGGCAGCTGGCCCTGCTCTGTCACTGCAGGACACGGAATAGCACTACACTGCTTTTTTAAGGTAAAAAGGGACTTTTTAATTGTTGACTTTAACATTTATAGATTTCTAAAAGTGACAGTGGATTGGAGGGTGACAGTGCCACCTCTCCACTGACGCTGGACAAACTAACAGCTTCTTAAATTTTTTTTTTCTTCTATAAAAGAATGCAAAACAGTAAGTTATTGATACAAAGTGTGTGAGAAAGCTCTTTATAAGAATGTAAACATCAGAAAGCTTAGAAAAACTTAAAAAATCAGGGTGACACTGCCCTGCCCTCCCAGCCACGTCCCCTTTCCCTCAGCAGAGAGGGGTTGGTGAGGGGATTGAAGCAAGAAGGGGAAAACGTGTGGGTGAGCAGCTGGCTCCAACCAGACCCACAGCTCTCACCTCCTCCTTCTGGCCCAAAATGAGTCAAGAACGCAGAATTTCACTGCTTTTTTGCCAACAAGCCCACTCTCAGGCTGCTTTCCCAAGGAGTGGGGCTGCTCCCGGCTGGGGATGCTCCGTGCCAACCTCTGTGCCTCCCCTTTCCAGCCCAGCCCTTCCTGGGGGGATCTGCTGCCCCCAGCCCCTCCCCACGAGCCATGGGCACCACGGAGGCCACGCTGCGGATGGAGAACGTGGATGTGAAGGAAGAGTGGCAGGACGAGGACTTCCCCAGGTGTGTGCCCCAAAAAAACCAAAACAAAACCAGGAGACTTTTATTCATTTTTTTCCTGTGAGAGACCATCAAAATGGGAGCGTCCATCCCAAATCCTTAGAAGCAACAGGAGCCTGAACTCCAACAGGGGTTCAGAATTTTTTGGAGCTGCTCTGAGTGCATCAAGAATTTGGGGGTGTTTTTGGCACGTTTGTTTTTGGCATGTTTGTTTCTGGCACGTTTGTTTTTGGCAGCCCTGCGTGGGCACGGGAAGCAGGGAAAGGAGAAGCAGGGAGATCAGGGTGGACAGAGGGATGGAGGGTGGATGGGTGCACGTGGGATTTATGGATTTGTGGACTCCTTCCCAGGCCCTGGATCCAGCAGAGTCCCGAACAGAGCAGTGCTGCCGTGCCAGGAATTTCCCACCTGGAAATTCCACGCAGCGGCTCCCAGTGGGTGCCAGCCCCGTGGGGCTCACAGGAGGTGCCAAAGTGGCACCTTCCCCCTTCAGATCCACTTCAGCAGCTGCACAGCGGTGCCAAACCCCCTCCCCAGTGAATTCCCACCCCATTCCCAGCTCGTTCCCACTCGGGTGTGGATTCTCCCTCTCATCCCAAACCCGGCTGGGCTCATCCCTGCTGGACTCATCCCTGCCTGGCAGCACTGGCGTGGCTCAGGGGGGGATTTCAGCTCCCTTCCAAGGCTGGGAGCTGGCTCTGGATCCTGCAGGTGCCCGGGGGCTCTCAGGGCTGGCCCAGCTGCAGCCGCAGAGCCCCAGCACTGCCAGGCTCAGAGAAAGGGGCTCCTGTTCCCCCGGGATGAGCCTGGCTCTGTTCATCCCGGCCCCAGCTGCGTCCCCGCTGTGTGAGCCCCTCTGTGCTGAGCCCACAGCACGGGGTTTGTCCTTCCTCTGCCTCCCGGGGGCTCAGCCCTTCCCGGGGGGGTGAAATTCCCTCTGAGGGCAGCGCTGCTGGAGCTCTGCCAGCCGGCTTTGTGGTGGGGGAAAAGGAGAGGGGAGTGTGGGAAAGAAAGGGGTGGATGGGAATCGTGGAATGGTTTGGGCTGGAAGCGGCCTCAGGACTCATCTCCCTTCCAAAGTGGGGATTCCTTCCAGCAGAGCAGAGAACAGACAGGAAATCAGGGTTTAGGGAGGAAAATATTGTCCCAGAGCTCCCCAGAAAATCCGGGATAAAGCTGGTCTGGCTCTGGGACACCTCGGCAGCACGCCAGGCATCACTGGGAGCTCTGTCCCACACCGCCCGTGCCAGCAGCAAACCACGGCCCAGCCTTCCAGGGAAAATCCTCCTGGAAAGCCCCCAGCACCACCAAACCCCTGGGAAAGGGATTTTTCCAGGGAAGATGCCCTGGGAATGAGCACCGGGAAGAGGCAGAGGGATGCGAGCGGGGCGGGATGAGGCCGAGCCCTTGGGAGGAGCCTCCTCCGGAGGGATTGGAGCAGGAACGATGCGAGACGGAGCCCAAACAGCCCCCAGGCAAACGAGGGAAAGCCAGCTGGGTTCTGCTCGCAATAAAAATAAATAAATTGTCCTTTTGCTGCCGCTTCCCCGCTGGAAGCATTGGAATAATAGGGCAGAAGCTGCTGCATGTGGGACAGCCGCTCTCCAGCAGCTGATTTGCTGCAGAGCTATTTTTGCCTGCCTGCCATTAGCCAATCTTGCCCCGAAAAGCAGGGAAAAAAAAAAAAAAAAAAAAAAAAAAAAAAAAAAAAAAAAAAAAAAAAAAAAAAAAAAAAAAAGGAAAAGCCACATCCTAGACAGAGATCTGGGCCGGGAAAACAGAAAAAAAAAAACAGAAGCCAGGCGCTCCCTGGGGGCACGGGGCGACATTCCCGGCATTTCCTGGCAGCAGCTCCGGGAGGAGCCGGAGCCGCTGCCCCGCTTTGATCCCGGCCCGGCTCGGCCCGGGGCGGGGATGCCGTAAGCGAGGAGCGGGCGGCGCGGAGCGGGAGCATGCTCACTCCTGCAGCCATCCCTGCATCCATCGCTGCATCCTTCCCTGCATCCATCCCTGCACCTCTTCCTGCATCCATCACTGCGTCCAGCGCTGCATCCCTCCTGCATCCATTCCTGCATCTGTTCCTGCATCTGTTCCTGCATCCAACCCAGAATCCACCCCAGAATCCATCCCTGCATCCATTCCTGCATCCAACCCAGAATCCATCCCTGCATCCATTCCTGCATCCAACCCAGAATCCATCCCAGAATCCATCCCTGCATCCTTCCTGCATCCATCCCTTCATCCAACCCAGAATCCATCCCTGCATCCATCCCCGCCTCCCTCCCGCCTCCCTCCCCGCCGTGCCCGCTCCATCGCTGCCAGCAGGGCTGGCACGGGCACGGGCACGGGCAGGGGCAGGGGCACGGGCACGGGCAGGGGGCAAAGCCCCGGCTCTCGGCAGCGCTGCTCCGCCGAGCTGGGCGCGGGGGGCCGGGGGCAGGAGGGCAGCGGCGGCAGCGCAGCAGCCTCGGGGAAGGTAAGCCAGGCTTTCCCTTCGGAGCCCGGGCTCAGCAGCACGTACCCGGCCCAGTGCCCCCCTGCTGCCCAGCTGGGTGCCGTGCCACCAAAGCGTGCCAGGCGCCAGCCCGGGTGGGCACGGGACAGCGCGAGCTGAGCGGGCACGGGGGGTTCCCCTGCTCCGGAGGGTCCCGCAGGTGCTTTGATCGGTGCTGAGCTCTCATCAATATGCAGCGAGCAGCAGCGGAGGATTATCCCTTAATCTACATATTCATAGGGTTTAATTTGTCCGGTGGCGGCGGGGAGAGGAGCGGGGCTGGGTCCTGTCCCCGTTGTCACCTCCCTCCCTTCCTGTGTCGCGGGGACGTCAGGCTGCTGGACAGCGACCTCATCCTCAACCTCATCCTCATCCTCATCCTCATCCTCATCCTCATCCTCATCCTCATCCTCATCCTCATCCTCATCCTCATCCTCATCCTCATCCTCATCCTCATCCTCATCCCTCACCCTGCACATTCCCGGTTTGTCCCAGCAGGATTTGACAGCTCCCCCCTGGCCGGGGGAGGGAGGGGTCCTGAGCAGAGATTTGACAGCGTGCACGGGTGGGGTTGGTGGGGTTTGGTGAAGAATTGTCAAACGCAGATAATCCCGGCGGGCAGAGCAAGTCCCAGCTCCAGTTCAGGGGAAAAGCACCCGGGAGTGCCCAGGGGGAGGCTCAGGCACAGCAAATCCAAATTCCCACTTTTCTCAGCCCAGTGTGGGGCAGGAGCAGCTCCAGCAGCTGCCAGAGGGTGCCAGCCATGCCCTGGGGGTTGATTTCAGCAAGGAAAACTTCTCAATCCGTGGATGCCTCCAAGATCTGACCAGGAGGCTGCAGGAGCTGAGCACGAGGGGCTGCAAACCCCAGCAAAGGAAGGGTGGCTCCAAAAAATTGAGAATGGGTGCTGATGCCTGGATTTTAGCATGGAAAGAACCCAGTTCCGACCCTCAGCAGGGGCTGGGAGTCACCCAGGGGGGCTGAGGTGACAATTTGGGGTCGTGGTCCCAAGCAGAGCCAGCAGCAGGAGCTTCCTGGGGAAGCTGTGGAGCTGTGGATAAAGTTGTGCTGGACTGGGGTGAAATCATCCCAGATTTCACTTGTGCCCATCCCAGAGCTCTGCCAGGGACAGGGATAAAGCCCTGGGCACAGGGGGTGCCCTAATGAGGAGCCCCAGGGCCTGGCACTGCCCCTCAGAGTTCCTACAGAGGGAAAATGAGGATAGCACAGAGGAGGAGGATGCTGCCAAGGTCACGGGGGTCAGGATTTGTTCCCTGGCTGGGATTTTCATCCCTCGGGATAGTCTGGAGGGGATTGCAGAGCACACCAAGCCAGGTCCTGGGCACATTCCTGAGGGAATCCTCAGGTGAGAGAAGGGAAAGGGCAGAGCACAGGCGGGGTTGGGTTGGGTTTTTTCCCTGCTGTCCCCATTCCCTCAGGATGATTTCCCCCTACATTTCCCCTGCTCTCTGCTGTGTTTTTGTCCCTGCTGTCCTGCAGGCCTCTCCCAGAAGAGACAGGGATGGAGTCACTGGGGAGCCCCACGGAGGACGAGACCACGTCCTGTAAGTGCCAACTTCTGCAGAGCCCAGGGGAGGGAGAAAACCTTGCATTCCCCACAAGAAAAATAAAAATTCTGACGTGGGAGAGGAAACCAGCAGGGATTTGAAGTTGTTCATCTCTCCTGAGAAGCTGGGGGAGGAAATTGGGATTTCAGGGGTTGGGGCACTTCCATCCCAGTGCTCCCAGTCTGACCCAGCACCCCGAGGGCTCCAGGTCTGTGTTCCATCAGGAATTATCCATGAGGAATCCTTGCTCTGTAAATCCAGGAGCAGCACCACGTCTTGGAATGCCAGGCTCTTTTTTGTTCTAAGGTCAGGGTGAATAAAACTCAGGAGACATTTGTTTTGAAGTTTATTATCTTTATTTATTGCAAACCTGTGAGATGTGAGCTGTCTCTAACCAGTCTAGAATATGAGCTAAAATGGTGTTTATTCAAGGCTATTTAAGTCTTAATTGTTTAATAAACAGTTGATACCTATATTATTTATGCTCCTAACTCGATTACTTGAAACCTGCAGCACAGACATCTTTTACCTAATTAGAGAAAACTGAAGAAGAAGGAAAAAGAAAGTGTAAAAAAGACAAATAACCTACACCCAAAATTCTCTGTCTTGGCTTCTATGTATTACTGTACACTAAAACCTCAAATCTAATTTTTTTTACCTCGTGAGACCACACAACTCTGTCCAAACTACACACACCCTGGCAGTTTTCTTTTCCTTTGAACTGCAGCTCCCCCCAACACTCTGAACTTTAACGGGGCCCATCGGAAGAGGAAGACCCTGGTTGCACCTGAAATCAACATTTCCCTGGACCAGAGCGAGGGCTCCATCCTCTCCGACGACTTCCTGGACACCCCAGATGACCTGGACATCAACGTGGATGACATCGAGACTCCTGATGAGACGGATTCCCTGGAATTCCTGGGCAACGGCAACGAGCTGGAGTGGGAAGGTAAAAAGCTGCTGCTGGGTGAACTTCTCCAGGGGTTGGGGTGGTTTTTTGCCTCGTTTTAAAGATTTTTGACACAATTCACCACCAGCAGCTGAGGACTGATAAGCAGAGAGAGATTTTAAAGTTGTTTATATAATATTTGGGCAGCAGAGAAAGATGAAAACCTGATGGATTGTACCCTTTTCTGAACGGTAGGAGAAATTTTTACAAAGGGGTAGAAAATGGTTAGACAAATTTATACAAAGGGGTAGAAAACGGTTATACAAATTTATACAATTTATACTGTATTTTTCAAAGTTATCACAACTGTTTTTATGTGTTACCAAAAGAAAATTGATGAATAAATTGGCCCAGAGCAAGGCTGGAGGCGAAACCCCACCAGAGCATCGTCCCTGGGGTCCCCCCAAAGCTCCTCCCAATTTCTCCTCGAGGCAGAACTCCTTGTCCCTTCCCCAGACGACACCCCGGTGGCCACGGCCAAGAACATGCCTGGGGACAGCGCAGACCTCTTTGGGGACGGGGGCACAGAGGATGGCAGTGCCACCAACGGCCGCCTCTGGAGAACCGTCATCATCGGCGAGCAGGAGCACAGGATCGACCTGCAGATGATCAAACCCTACATGAGGGTGGTGACACACGGAGGTGAGCCCGCTGCCCCGGGGGCTTTGTCCCTCTGGGTCACGCTGGAGGGGACACCAAGGCTGGCTGGACGCTGTTGAGGGGGGAAATCATCTCTGGGGGAAATGTTTGGGGTTTTTGGTAGCTGCGCGCGGCACAGAAGCACAAAAGTGTTCAGATGGTGATAAAATATTTAATGATTGGAGGATTGCCATCTGGAGGGAGTGTGCCAGTCCCTGAGGTGCTCCAGGGCCCACAGGTGTGCTTCCAAAATCCAAGCAAAGCCAAGGAACAACCCAGCTTCAAAACCCCCAAATCCTTCTCTGGGTCATTACAACCAAACCCAGGAGGAAATCTCACAGTGAAAAATGTGTGAACAGAGAAACTCCCTCTTGGAGCTGAGCAGGGACACAAAAACCACCCCAAATTTCAGTGCCATTTCCCCTCGGCTGTGCCATTTCCCCTCGGCTGTGCCATTTCCCCTGGGCATTGTCACTTTTGGGTTTTTTTCAGGATACTACGGGGAAGGCCTGAACGCCATCATCGTCTTTGCTGCCTGCTACCTCCCGGACAGCAACCTGGCTGATTACCACTACATCATGGAGAACCTGTTCCTGTGAGTGCGGGGGCGGCAGGCTGGGGGAGCTGGGCACGCCGGGAACCTCAGCTGGGAACGGGCTGGGTGCCAGCCCAGCACTGCCAGGCCAGCTCAGCTGCAGCTGCTGGCACCGCGGGGACACTGGGACCGGGTCTGAGTCCAGCAAGGCCAACGTGGCATTTTCTGGGGTCCCCTGTGGCAGCAAGGAATGAGTCTGATTCCATGGTTTTAGAAGGTTAATTTATTATTTTATTGTATGATTTATGTGATTGATATGACATATTATATTATATTATATTATATTATATTATTATACTATATTATACTATATTATATTATACCATATCATATTATACTATAATATAATATAATAATATCATATTATATCATATTATACTATATTATATTATACTATATTGATTTTATTTATTTTATTATATTATACTATGCTGCACTAAACTATACTAAAGCACAGGGAAAGGACACAGACAGAAGGCTAAAATAATGAAAATAATGAATACTAATGAAAGCTAATAATGAATACTAATGAAAGCTAATAATGAAAACTCCTGACTGTCTCTTCCAGAGTCCCAGCACAGCCTGGCTGTGAGTGGTCGTTAAATTAAAATAATTCACGTGTTGGATAAACGACCTCCAACCACATTCCAAAGCAGCAAAACACGGGAGAAGCAACAAGATAATTATTGGTTTTATTTTTCTCTGAGGCTTCCCCACTTCCCAGAATGCTGGGCAGAGAGGGTTTTTCAGGAAATGTGCTGGTGGCACCCAGGCAATCAGACATTCCGTTAATTACGGGATGGAATCAGCCCCGGGCTGGAGCTGCCGGGCAGGGACCGGAGCAGGGCACAAAGTGCTGATCCCGGGGGACACCCCGGGGACCAAACCCCTTCCCAGCCTGCCGGGAAGGGCCTGGAGCTGTTTCAGAGCCCTTGAGGGAGCCCAGAGGGGGTTTGCGGGTCTGACGGCGCTTGGCTCCCGCAGGTACGTGATCAGCAGCCTGGAGCTGCTGGTGGCTGAGGACTACATGATCGTGTACCTGAACGGGGCCACGCCGCGCCGCAGGATGCCGGGCCTGGGCTGGCTCAAGAAGTGCTACCAGATGATTGACAGGAGGTGAGAATCCTGCTGGGGGGGCCCCTCCATCACTCCTGGGCCTCCTCAAAGGAAAATCAGACGCTGCTCTTCAACAGGAATGAGTCTGAGCCAGTCCCGCTTTCCACTCCATCCCAGCTGCTGGAATTTACCTCCAAGTCACCTCCTTGCACTCCCCTGCCAGGGACAGGGACACCTCCCACTGGCCCAGGCTGCTCCAAGCCCCGTCCAGGAATATTTTGATTTATAATGACATTATAACATCATTATAAGTGATATTCTAGAGAGCTGAGCAGAGCAGTGCTCCATGTCCTGCCGGGCTGGGACGAGCTTCCCGAGGGGTTTTAGCTGGGCAGAGCCAGCTGAGGCTGGGCAGCACCTGCCAGGGCCCAGCACAGCACAGGGCAGTTCAGGAATGTCCTTGGAGTGTGACACTCTGTCCCCTGACCTGTCCCCAGGCTGAGGAAGAACCTCAAGGCCCTGATCATCGTGCACCCCTCGTGGTTCATCCGGACCGTGCTGGCCATCTCCAGACCCTTCATCAGGTGAGCACAGCGGGCTCGGGCTGGGGGTTTGGAACCGCAGGGTAATGGAACATCCTCATCCTCAGTTTGGAGGGATCCACAGGGACCATCCAGGCCAGCCCCAGCCCCTGCACAGGCACCCCAACAATCCCAGCCCATCCCAGAGCGGTCCCAGCGCTCCTGCAGCCCTGGCAGGGCTGGGGCTGGCACCATTCCCTGGGGAATGCAGTGCCCAGCTCCCTCTGGGGGAAGAACCTTCCCTGGGATCCATCCCAAATCCCAGAACCTTTCCCTGATCTCCATCCCAAACCCCTGAACCTTCCCTGGGATCCATCCCACCCCCTGGCCCAGCCCCAGCCATTCCCTGGGGTTTAATCTCACAAATCAGATTTGAAGCTCACCCTCAGCCAGGGGTGAGGCTGTCACTTGTCCTGCACCCCTCAGATCCCCACAGTGCCACCTCCAGAGGTGCCCCAGGAGCTGCTGGGCTGTCACTTGTCCTGCACCCCTCAGATCCCCGCAGTGCCACCTCCAGAGGTGCCCCAGGAGCCGCTGGGCTGTCACTTCTCTCTGTGTCTCTCTGTGCAGTGTGAAGTTCATCAGCAAGATCCAGTACGTGCACAGCCTGGAGGAGCTGGAGCAGCTCATCCCCATGGAGCACGTGCAGATCCCAGACTGTGTCCTGCAGTGAGTGCCACAGGGACCGGGGCTCTGGGGGGGGCCAGCACCAAACCCTGCCAGGCTGAGCCCAAATCCGTGCCTCGGGGAGGCAGAGCCTGGGCAAAGCCGGGCTCAGCCAAGGCAGAGCCCAGGCTGTGGCAGCTCGGAGCTTCTGCCACCCCAGCAAACACCAAACGGGACTGAAAGGGAACAGCAGCAGTTAAAAGATGTTTTGTCTTTGTTGCAGATATGAAGAAGAGAGGATCAAGGCCAGGAAAGAAAGGTGAGATGGATTTGGGGAGGGATGGAGAGTGGCTCCTCTCCAAGAGCCCAGAAAGGCACTGGGGTGTCCCTCCTTCCCACTGGGGATGGATTCCCATGGGGTTTGTGTTTACAGGGCAGAGGAGAAGCAAGACATGGCTGAGAGGGAAAGGTAAGGACTCTGATTTACCCTTTTCTCTGATTTATCCTTTCTTCTGATTTCCCTTCCCTCTGATTTGCCCTTTTCTCTGATTTCCCTTCCCTCTGATTTCCCTTCCCTCTGATTTCCCTTCCCTCTGATTTACCCTTCCCTCTGATTTCCCTTCCCTCTGATTTATCTTCCCTCTGATTTCCCTTCCCTCTGATTCCCCTTCCCTCTGATTTCCCTTCCCCCTGGTTCGCCCTTCCCTTGAGGAGCCTTTGGGGTTAAGAGCAGCCCCACGGCTTGGGAGCACCCCTGGGATCCACCAGGACATTCCCAGAGTGGTCAGGAGCTGATAAGGGCTGGAACTGTGGGGAAAGGAAATTCTGGAGGGGTTTGGAAGATAAAATCCTTCAGCAGGACAACGTGGCCCTGCCCAGAGGGATGCAGCCTCTCTCTTAGTCTGATTCCTGATGGGGAGCAGGGAAAGATCCCCTGGATGAGCTGAAATATCCCAAGAAATGTCCAGGAGCTCAGGGCAAAGAGGGGGGATTGATTTGTGCTGGAATTTTTATATTTTTTTATGCGCTGGAGATTTATTTATTTTTCTTTTCTCTTTGCAGCAGGCCCGTGCCCCCAGCAGAGGACCAGGAGACCAGGTTTGAACTCTTTGTGTGGCTGGCACACATCCTGGGCCATTTTGATCCATGACCAGGAAAGCCAAGGCTGGCTTCGGCCCAGGATCCCCCAGCCTGGTGTCACATTGTCCCCTCTGCCACCATCGGTGTCCCCAGCACACTCCTGTGACCCATTTCACCAAATTCACCCATTTCTTTTGTTGGTGTGGTGGCAGTAATCACATTTCTTGCCTCAGTTTGCTGCCTGAAAACCCCTCCTGTCTCTTTTCCCTGCCCAGCATGTCCTGAGTGGGAGCAGCACGAGGAGTGAGGAGAAGGAGCAGCCTGGCAGTCACCCACCTCAACGGGGACAAGAGCTTGCCACCACCTCCTTCCACGTCCTGCCAGCCCTGGAGCCTCCTCTGCCTCCAGACGCAAAGTCCTTTCACCTTTTGGGAATCACTTTCCTTTAAAAAAAAAAAAAAAGAAAAAAATAAGAACAAAAACCAACCAAACCCCCCCAGAAATCGAAGCAAGAGCAGCACTTTACAGGACAGGTTCTGGTGTGTTGTGGGAATATCTGTGGAGAGCGTTGGCACAGGGCAAACACTCACTGAGTATCCTCGGAGTAAGGCAAGAGCATCCTCCAGTCCGTGGATCTCCAGCCCAGAAAGAGAATTTATTTTTGGTTTCAGTTACAAACCCTTCGCTCGCTGCTGGCCAGCACGGAGCCCTCCTGTTGGAGCTGCACCCCCAGTTCCTCCAGGACCCCCCAGGAGCTGCCACCCCCGGGAACGACCACCAGGCAATGGGAAGGGCTTTTCCCTCCTTTTTCCAGCCCGTGAGTTTCCTCCTGAAGGTTCCAGGTGCCCGCAGCCTGGGCAGCACTGCCAGCTCCCAGCACCGCTCTGGAACTCATTCCAGCAGGAAATCCCACGGGTTTTCCATGGTTTTCCACGGTTTTTCCACGGGTTTTCCACGGTTTTTCCACGGTTTTTCCACGGTTTTTCCATGGTTTTCCCACGGTTTTTCCAGTTTTTCCATGTTTTTTCCATGGTTTTTCCATGGTTTCTCCATGGTTTTTCCATGGTTTTTCCACGGTTTTTCCACGGTTTTTTCATGTTTTTTCCACGGTTTTTCCATGGTTTTTCCACGGTTTTTCCACGGTTTTTCCATGGTTTTTCCATGTTTTTTCCATGTTTTTTCCACGGTTTTTCCATGGTTTTTCCACAGTTTTTCCATGGTTTTTGCACGGTTTCTCCACGGTTTTTCCATGTTTTTTCCATGTTTTTTCCATGGTTTTCCCACGGTTTTTCCAGTTTTTCCATGTTTTTTCCATGGTTTTTCCATGGTTTCTCCATGGTTTTTCCATGGTTTTTCCACGGTTTCTCCACGGTTTTCCCATGTTTTTTCCTGGTTTATCCCATCCCGCTGCGTGAGGCGCTCCGAAGGGATCCCACAGAACCTCCTCGTGCGGGCACACACCCCAGAGGGGTTGGGAAGGAGATTTCCAGCACGGGGAAGTTTCCCAGCCCCGTCTCCGTCTCGACGTCGCGCCGCCGGACAATCGCTCGCTGCTGACGCCTCCCAGGAGCTGCTGGGATTTTGGGAGGTTCCCTCGGGAGGGAAATGCTCATCCAGCAGAATTCCAGCCTGGAATGTGCCCCCGGAGAGGGCAGGACACCGGGCTGGCTGCGGGTGGGACTTGGACCCTCGGAATTCGGGATTGGGGCTCATGAGGATTCCGTGGGCAAAGGAGGGGGGAAAGGAATGAAGGAACAAATTCTGGACAAAGTTCTTTGGAAATTCCTGATTCCTGAGGCAGAGCCAGCTCGCGTGGCTTGGGTGGATCCCTGGGAGGGTTCGAGGCCAGCCTGGGACAGGGGGGGTGTCCCTGCCACGGCAGGGTGGCACTGGGGGGGTTTCAGCTCCCTCCAGATCATTCCAGCCTTCCCTGATTCCATAATCAGGCCAAACCCTTCTCAAACAGCTGCAGATGAAGAATTCCCTGCCCATTTCTTCACTTCGTCGTCCCTTTCATTCTTCAGCTGAGGAATTCCCTGCCCGTTTCTTCACCTCAAGGAGAATTCTGGCAAAGCAGGGTTTTTCCTGAAGGTGGGGACGGCTCCTCTGGGCACACAACGCTGCTTTTCTCCTCCTTGCAGTGAACAAAACCACTCTGGATGAGATCCTCCTTCCCCAGGTGCTCCAGAAGTGCTTTTTAACCTTAATTCTCATTTGGGACCTTCTCCTCACACACTCCAGCCACGGATGGAAAGCAGAGCACTGCACCCACAGCACCAACCCAGAGGCTGAAGATGGGAAAAAAAACCCCAATTCCACATTCCATCTAAAAAAAAAAGATAAAAAGCACCAAACAAGGTCATTATAAACCAATTATTGACAAAATATTCCAAGTGGGAAGGGGCTTGGAGCGCCCTGGGTGGGATTTAAGGTCCTTTCCACCATCAGTGACCCACGCTGGCACTGCAGGGAAATTTGTAATTGTACAACAATCAAGTGGATAAAATGTGGAATTATGGGGTCAGAACCCAGCTCTAGGATGGGTTTTGTGCATAAAAAACGTCCAAAAATGCTGCTGTGATGGAAGAGATGGATGTGGGAGACAAGGAATGCAAATCTCCTTTCGTGAGGCAGCTCTGGATCCACACCAGAGTGGAATTTGCTTTTTTGTTTCATTCCTTCCCAAAACCACTCTGCACCTTCAGGAAAAAAATAAAAAATACAGAAATGAGCAGCTCTGACAATGAAACTTCAACTTTTTCCAAGTAATTCCTTCAGAGGAGGGAATTTCAGCTGGGAAAGGACAGATCCCAAATTTCCCTTCACGAGATGGAGGTGGGCAGAGGTTTCCATTAAAAAAATCAATTTTTAACGTCTTGGAAGCGATTTTTTGTTTGTTTTGTTTCAAAAAGTGCACTTTGTGATGGAGCACCCCAAGTGGAGTGCACTAGATTTTAATTTTTCACAGTTTTTAAGCATGTAAAGTTTATCTTCATAGATGGATGGACGGACACATGGATAAAGTTTTTATGTCTTTTAACACAGAGAAGAACCTGCAGCCCCATCAAGGAGAAATTAGAAACGTCAAAAGTGCATTTTATAGAAGAAAAAAAAAATTAATTATCATTCATTATTTCAACCAGGGATTTTAACTGTTGATTGCAAAACAAAAAGCTAAAAATTCTTGGGAAAAAAATTAAAAAAAAATGTCCCTGTCCCAAAGGTGGAGTGACAAATCTCAGCTGGATGGGGAGAAATCTGCACTGCTGCTGCTGGAAGTGCATTCCCAGTGGGACTGTGACCAGTATATAAATATATAAATATGTTTAAAGAAGAAAATGAAATAAACTTCATCCCTTTAGCAATACTGCTGGACTGCTCGGTGCCCCAAACGTGCAGAAAACCATCCAAGATCTCCATTTCCCAGTTCCCTGGATTCTCCTGAGCACTTTCTGGTCTGATTTGACTTTTCCTGAGATTTTTTCTTCCCGGTGAATCCATGGGAAGTCACATTTTAGCTGCAGAAAAAGTTCTTTTATGCCCTTTTCCCCCCAAATCCTGGTGTTTTCACTCGTTGTGTGTTTAATTGCAGGACTTCAATCAGCTGAAAAATCCAATTTTTTCCTGTTCAGAGCAGGAATTCCCTTCCCCTCTCTCGGAGGATTCATCCCCAGCTCCAGAAACTCCAACTTTTCTGGTTTTTCCACCCAGATTTGGGAGAGGAATTGTTGCTGTGGTTCCCAAGGAAGGCACAGGAGGCACAGCTGGGATCCTGCTGAGGATTCCGGGGCAGGAATTCACCCCGATCCTTTCTGTGTCACTGCCAGTGGATATTTAGAGCTTCCCTCGTGGTGATTTCTCCATCTTTATCCCCCACAGAGGGGCAGAAAAGGTTTTAAAGGCAGCAAATCCTCTTTTTTAGAGGATTTCCAAAGGCAGGAGCCAAGGCAAGGCTGGTGGTGATGAGCTGGGATGGGCCTGGAGCAGGAGAAAGGGACAAAAAACCCACAAAAAGCACATTTTTCTCTTTTTTATTTCCCTCCTTCCTGGCAGCCAGAAGCGCAGCGGGTTTTGGTAAAGCGGAATTCAGAGCTCACCACGACAATAAACCACAGGTTTTGGGTTTTTTTTTCCTTTTTTTTGTTCCTTTGCAGCCCAACCCCACCTGCCAAACGTGTGAAATGTCATTTTCTGCAGTGCTTGTAATGAGGTTTGTGCTAGCCCCGAGTTTTGCTTTGTGTTATTCCATCAAATCTGTGGATATTCTATTAAAACCAGACTCATCCTTCAGCCCAGCCTCCCTTCTCTCGGTAGATTTTATTTCGGATTTGGCTTCATGTGGAAAATATGAGGGAAATTCGTTGTGTGGAGGTTGTTCCTTGGAGAGAGGCATTCCGAGGAAATTCTGACACTGCACAATTCCAAGGGTTTTACTAAAATAACTCCTGCTCTGGAGGATTCTCTCCCAGTTTCCCTCAGCTTTAGGAAAGAGCCATGGAAAAATTGCCTTTCTTTGGGTTTCTGCTCCTCTTAGGCTGTTTAATCTCACATTATTTTTACACATATTTTTATAATCCAATTAATACCATGACTGGAAATTGAATTATTACAAAAAAACAACCCAAAGCCACTTAAATGGAAAAATACCCAAACCCCAAGAACCCCTTTTTTATTTGTAATATTAATGTTATTAATAGTTAATATTATTTCATATTTCAAATCCAACTATGTACCATGAGATATTTAATTTGAGTGGGTTTAGACAAATCATTAACATAATTAATGAACTGGAAATAGGAATATGCACAAGTCTAATCCTCTAACAAGCATTGCTGTAGTCATGCTGTGAATTCTTTCAGGAAGTCCACATTAATTGAAATTAATTTTAAATGAGGGCTGTAAATTTGTGCTGTAAATTTGTACAAAGCAGATTTTTTGCCCTGATTTTATTTTCTCCCAAAAAAACAAAATCCTATCAGGATCAATACCAATTTTTTTTCTGCTCATCCTCTGCTTTTTTTGTTTAATTTCTATAGAAAATCTTTTTGGGGTTGCAATTTTGTGGCTCAAATATTCCATTTATGGCATCAACAACCAGGTGGGAGCTTTGGGGTGACCAAACTGGGGCTTTGCAGGGCCTGAGGGGGCCCCAGGAGAGCTGAGAGGGATTTGGGATGAGGGATGGAGGGACAGGACACAGCGAGGGCGGGGACGGCTGGGATTTGGGGAAGGAATTGGTCCCTGGGTGGAATTTAAAAAAAAAAAAACAAAAAAAACCACAAAAAACCCAGGGAAGAAAAACAAAACAAAACAACAACAAAAAAAAAAAACCACAAAAAAAACCCCACAACAAAAAACAGAATTTAAATTCAGCCCTGTGTGAAATTTAAAAAAAAAAAAATAGAGAGGAAAAAAAAAAACTTGGAATTTCAATTTTTCCCTGTGGGGAATAAAAAAAAAAAAAAAAAACCCCAAAAAAACAAAAAACAAAACCCAAAAAAACTCAAAAACTTAATTTAAATTGAGCCCTGTGTGGAATTTTAAAAAAACCAAACAAACAAACAAACAAAAGAAAAACCAAAAAGAACTTTAAATTTAAATTCAGCCCTGTGTGGAATTAAAATAAAAAAAAAATAAATAAAAAACAACCTTGGAATTTAAATTCGGCTCTGTGTGGAATTAAAATAAAAAAAAGATAAATAAAAAACAACCTTGGAATTTAAATTCAGCTCTGTGTGGAGTTAAAAAAAAAAAATCCTTTCCAACTTCGATCTGACTTTTGCAGTGCAGTGAAAATCACATTTTGCCACCTGCCAGTGCCGGAACCTCCCCTCCCAGGGCTGCTCCTCCCTGGGGCTCCCGAGTGCAGGAGGCTCCAGGAAAAGCTCATTCCACAGGGAACGTTCCCACCCCGGTGCTCTCCAGACACAGCTCCGGCCTCCCAGATGAGGATGATGAGGATGATGAGGATGATGAGGATGATGAGGATGACGAGGATTTCTGATGAGGATAACAATGAGGATAACGAGGATTTCTCCCCAAACGAGGCTCACCCTGGCCCCGTTCATCGGCCCAAGCTGAGCTTTGTGGGTTCAGTTTCCCTCCGGGGGATCTCCTGGGATGGTTTCACCTCCTGGGGCTGAGGTCTCCTGTCTGCACTGAAGAAATCAAAAAAATCAGGAAATATCCATTTTTACACTGCTCTCGTCCTTCGGGAGTCAATGAATCACAGCCAGGGGAGGGAAAGAAAGGGAGGACGGGGAGGAGAAGGGGAAGGGCTGGAACATTCCCTCCCTCCCTCCCTCCCTCCCCGCACTGGGATCCCACCTGGGTGAAGCTCTGGGCGTGCTTGTGGCTCTTTGTTGACCCCACCTTCTGTCCAGCCATGCAGCACCATCCAGAGCTCCCGAGATCCCAGAGGGGTTTCCAAAGGCTCCTGGAGCCCTGGCAGGGCTGGGCTGGCACCATTCCCCGGGGAGCCCGGGCAGGGCCCACCGCCCTTGGGGGAAGGACCTTCCCTGGGATCCATCCCAATCCCTGAACCTTCCCTGGGATCCACCGCAATCCCTGAACCTTCCCTGGGATCCACCGCAATCCCTGAACCTTCCCTGGGATCCACCGCAATCCCTGAACCTTCCCTGGGATCCACCGCAATCCCTGAACCTTCCCTGGGATCCACCGCAATCCCTGAACCTTCCCTGGGATCCACCGCAATCCCTGAACCTTCCCTGGGATCCACCGCAATCCCTGAACCTTCCCTGGGATCCACCGCAATCCCTGAACCTTCCCTGGGATCCACCGCAATCCCTGAACCTTCCCTGGGATCCATCCCAAACCCCTGAACCTTTCCCTGACCCATCAGGTCACCCTGATGGATTTCCTGGGATCCATCCCAAAGTCCTGAACCTTTCCCTGATCTCCATCCCAGACTATTTTTTGGGATCCATCCCAGACCCCTGAACCTTTCCTGGTCCCCCTGATGGATTTTTTGGGATCCATCCCACCCCCTGGCCCAGCCCCAGCCCCTCCTGGGCTCTGTGAGGCCCCTCTGCCCTCCAGGACCCTTTCCCAGCAGATCCCCCTTGCCAAGGCCGTGCCACCCCGCTTGTTCCCCCCAGTGGGCACAGCTGCCTGTCCAAACTCCCCATGGGACATCCCCCGGAGCTGCTGGCCCCGGGAATGTCCCCGGGAACGTCACCGGGAATGTCCCCGGGAATGTCACCCTGGCTGGCAGCTCCTGGCTGGCAGCCACCGGGAGGAGGTGGCAGCCACTTAACCCTCGCACTAATTAACTCTGCTCCCCCATCCCCTCGTTGTCCCCGTTCTGGGCCGCTGCAGCCCCTGGGGTTCAGGTAAATTCTCCTCCCTTGGTGGTTTTGTTTCCCTCTTCTCAGGAGGCTTCGGGAGCTCCCCAGCCTTGGAGAAGGACTCTGAGCCCCCCAGCTCCCCCAGAGAAAAACAAATACCCCCAAATTTCAACAATCCCAATGAAAATTATTCCCATTTCTCGCCTCTGACGTCCCCTCGGGGCAGGAGGAACCTTGGTGTCACCTTGCTCATGCCATAAACAATCCTGTGATTAGGGGAGGATTAAAATTGTATTAAATTTTAAAATTTAATTAATTAAAGCTGCAGAAGAAATGAGTCACGTTCTGCAGCAGGCACCCAGCACTCGGCAGTCCCAGGGCAACGATGGCTCCAGCATTATTAAACTGCCTCCTGCTAAATGTAGCCAAGTTTGAACAAAAAATATGAATGCGAGCTTTCGGTAAACATTGGTATTCCAAAAATACCGCTGGGAGAGGGAACATTGCCTGCCTCGATTCAGGCTCCTGCTGAATGGCATCGGGGTGAGCAAAGTGTCGCGCAGATAACTTATCTGTGCCACAAAAAAACCCAAAAAAAGGAAGTTTCAGGGGAGGCGCGGGCAGCAGCCAGAAAGGGGGGCTGAAAAAAGCCTTTCTGAGCACTGCCGTTTGCATAAATCAGCGTTTATTTGGTATTTTTATGCTTTGGGGAGGTTGAGCTGCAGCTGGGCACAGCTGGAGGGTGCCCAGGGGTGTGGGATGGGAAAGGAAAGGAAGGAAAAGGAAAAGGAAAAGGAAAAGGAAAAGGAAAAGGAAAAGGAAAAGGAAAAGGAAAAGGAAAAGGAAAAGGAATTCCAGCTATGAGGGTGAATTCCAGCTCCCAGCGTGGCCGGGCTGTGAGCAGGAATGGGGCAGAGAGAAAAATCAGCCCTAAAAACAAACTGGGGAAAGGGGAGCGCTGAGGGGCTGGGGGGAAAATGTTTAAAAATGAAGATTTTGTACTGAGGAAAAGGAGATTTTACACTGAGAAGTGAGGTTTTTCAGCAAGGAGAAATGAGCTTTTAAATTAGGAGAAATGAACCTTTACACTGAGGAAAAATGAGATTTTCCAGTGAGGAAAAGGAGCTTTTAAAGGAGCTTTTCCACTGAGAAGAAATGAATTTTGGGGTTTGGAATGGGGTTTGAGCTTCAAAAACGCCAAGAGCAGCCCCAGCTGGTTCCTGTGTCCTTCAAGCTGCCGTTCCCAGAAGAAACAGAAATGTTGGAATTCCTCGTGGAGATAACGGGACACTGCTCTGATTCCCTGATCCCAAACAATCCAATCCTGCTGCTCCCATCCTGACTGTTGTCTGCTTCCAACACGAAAAATTCACTGTTTCTTTTGATATGCTTTTATACATATAATTTTAAATATATATATATTTAAAATATATTATATATTTTAAATATGTTATCTATTTTTAAATTTTTGTATATATATATATTTTTAATTCGTTGTTTCTTTTGATATACTTATATATATATATTTAAAATATATTATATATTTTAAATATGTTATCTATTTTTAAATTTTTGTATATATATATATTTTTAATTCGTTGTTTCTTTTGATATACTTATATATATATATTTAAAATATATTATATATTTTAAATATGTTATATATATTTTAAATTTTTGTATATATATATTTTTAAATTCATTGTTTCTTTTTATATACTTATATATATATATAATTTTTAAATATATATATTGAAAATATATAATAGATTTAAAATATATATTTTTAAAATTTATATGTATATAAATATATATATATTATATATTTAAAATCTATTATATATTTTTAATTTATAAATATATATATGCATATACATATAAATATAGATATAAATAGAAATAGAAATAGAAATAGAAAATTTTAAATTTCATTTTTCTTTACATACAACTTTGGCCAAAATCTCTTTTTTTTTCCAAGGGTAAAATCCTCACCAGCCACTTCCCTGCAGGCAAATCCAACTGGACAAAACACAAATTTCCCTCAGTGGAATTTTCCAGAAACATCTGGACCAGCAGAGGGAGCAGAGCTGGAGCAGAGGTGGCCGGGTCCGGTGTCCCCTCGGAATTTTGACAATTTTGGAGATTTTGGGTTCTTTTTCCCTTCTGGTGAGGCCGAATGCAGTAAAACACCCCTGAGAGTTCCCTGGTTCAGGGACGGTGAGAAGAGCAATAAAAGGCACAACAATTTGCAGCAGGAGCCCATTTGAGGACAATTTGTCACTTTTTACCTGTCAGAGGGGTGGTGTGGGGCTGGAAATCCAACGTCCCTGGGTTTGCTCCAACTCAGGAATCCGAGCTCCAGAGCTCTCTGGAATTGTCATTTTACCTTGGAACTGAGGGTGGAAGTGCAAGGAGCAACCCAATTATTTATTCATATTTATTACTTAACAATATTATTAAAATGTTTATGATATATGCTGTATAATAATATAGCATATATTATTATACATTACATTTTATTTTATATTATTTTATATTTTTATATATTATTTTATATTATTTTATACTATAAAGTTATGTATTATATGATATTATTTATATAATGTACAATATCCAATATTTATCTTATATATTTTATATTATATAATATATTGTCTATAATGTACTATATTATATTATATTATAATAATATATTATATAATATATTGTCTATAATGTACTATATTATATTATATTGTTACATTTTATTCTATAATGATGTCATATTCTTTAATAATATTATTTTTATTTATTACTATTTCCCCTCACAATAAGAACAATGGGAACCCTGGAATTAAAACTGGAGAACTCATTTGCTGCATTCCCACCCATAAATTCTGGATTTCTTTTCTTGCCTTTAATTTCTTCCCTGCAAAACCTCCAGAATCTTGACCTCTGCCAGTTAAAATTTCCTCAATTTGTAGCTCATGTTTATTCATGAGCAGCTCATTTTAGCACTTGGCCTTGTGGCTGAGGAGCAGAAACGGCTCTGAGGAGAAAAACAACATTTTTATTTTTATTTTCATTTTGATTTTAGCTCAACGGACACAGCTGAGCTGAGACAAAGGAGGTTTGAGACCACAAACTTCTTCAGGCCTGAAAGAGAGAAATTCAAATTAAACACAGCTCAGGAGCAGCTCTGAATGAAAGCTAATGGTGCCAAACATAATTTGAGGGAAATAATGAAAATAATGCAAATAATGGGGATATGAATAAGGAGTGGCATGGTGCCATGGGGTGTAATGAGGCAAAGGAGATTTAAAAAAATACATATATTATATATTTTTTATTTATATATATAATATATATGTACACACAAATATTATTTATTTTATAAATATATAAAAAATATGTATATTGCTTTATATATATATACACACATATATTATTTATTTTATAAATATATAAAAAATATGTATATTGCTTTATATATATATACACACATATATTATTTATTTTATAAATATATAAAAAATATGTATATTGCTTTAAAAACCTCCCTTGGAATCCCGGATATTTGGATTTTACACAGTAAAAGCTGAAGACCCCAAGGTAAAATGTCAAACAGGACCCCAAATACCCAAATTTGGTGTTGCTGATTTTTTCCCCATCCCTTTACAACTCTGGGAACCTTTGATACTTTTAACCTTTTAATCCTGCCACAATGTGGTTTTATAAAAGGAAGAACAGGGCAAGATATTATTTAAAAATGTACATTATAAACATAAAAAATGTTGTTGAAAAGCCTGACATTGCTCCGAGAGCCCCAGTTAAGAAACATCTGGAATAATTCAAATTACAGCCCAGGTTTCACAAGGTGTAGAGTTAACTTACCTTAAAAAGCCTCATTTTATGGGAGTTAACTGGGGAGGAGGAGGCTCTGCAGAGATAATAGTTCAGGAATTTGTGTCTATTTACAAAAAATAAACTGTTCCAAAAATTCCTTGTAAAGAGACATTCCGGGACGATTCACTCCTCATTCCTTCCTCTGAACAGCTTGACTGAAAAGGAAAAAAAATTAAAAGAATTAAAATTTAATTCCCCTTTTTTTTTTTAGAGTTTAGAGAAAAATTCCATCTCTGGATGAGTGTCAAATAATCAGATTTTTTTAGGGGGAAATTGGGGAATAAAGGAGGAAAAAGTCCCGACTTGATGATTTCCTCTGTGGCTGCGGGATGGCGGCAGGGTGACATTTCCACCTGCCTCATGACTAATTTAGGAAAAGGAAGAGCCGGCCAAAAAGTTATTTTTGGTGATGGGGCCAGCGAGGGAGAGGGACAGGTGCAGGGCCAGAGTGTGACATGGGGGGGATGAGCCCCCCAAAAACGGGAGCTGGCAGGGGGGGGTGAAATCCCCTCAAATGGGACCTTGTGGGGGTGGAATTCCAACAAAAAATGGGATTTTTGGGGGGGTTGAGGAGTCTGTTCCACCCCAAAATATGTGGAATTAGAGGGTTGGGGCAGCACAAAGTGGGACTTGGAGGGTTGGGTGAAAGGATCCCAAATTGGGGTTTGTGGGGTTGGACCCCCCAAAAATGGGGCACTGAAGGGTGGGCTGAAACCCCCCCAAAATGTGATATTGGGAGGGGTAAAACTGCCCTAAAATGTGACAATATTGAGCTGAAACTGTCCAAAATGTGACACCATGGGGTTGAACTCCCCCAAAATGTGACATTGAGGGGTTGAACCCCCCCAAAAAGTGGCATTGAGGGGCTGAATCCCCCCCAAAAAGCGACATTGAGGGTTGAACCCCCCCAAAAAGTGACATTGAGGGGTTCGAACCCCCCCAAAAAGTGACATTGAGGGTTGAACCCCCTCAAAAAGTGACATTGAGGGTTCGAACCCCCCAAAAAAGTGACATTGAGGGGCTGAATCCCCCCCAAAAGTGACATTGAGGGGTTAAACTCTCCCAAAAAGTGACATTGAGGGTTCGAACCCCCCCAAAAAGTGACATTGAGGGTTGAACCCCCCCAAAAAGTGACATTGAGGGGTTCGAACCCCCAAAAAGTGACATTGAGGGGTTCAACCCCCCCAAAAAGTGACATTGAAAGGTTAAATCTCCCCAAAAAGTGACATTGAGGGTTGAACCCCCCCAAAAGTGACATTGCGGCTTGGCCGCCCTGCCCCGAACGTGACATCGCGGCTCATGACGGTCACAGGGCTCTCGGGGCGGGGACTCGGCCCTATAAATCCGCCCCAAAATCGCCTTTTCCTCAATGAAAGGCTCGGGGAGGCAGAGCAGATCCTGGGGAGAAAGGGAGCAGGGACAGCGGGGTTTTTGTTCCGCTTAAAGTTCTTTTTTTTTGGGTTTTTTTGGGGTTTTTTTTTTGTCACCCCTCCCTCGCCACATTCCGGCTCAAGAGGCGACTCGGCAAAATGAAATATATTATAGGCATCGGAGGGTAAGTCCCTGCTAAAATCTGGCTTATTTTATGGGTTTTTTCCTGGTTTATATGGTTATAAAATAATATTCGGGATATAGGATTTGCGAGATGATGCAACTTGATGGGTGTTAATTCGTGATGCTTAAATACGGCAGGGTGACATCCACTTTTATATATTCTTTAATATATATCTTAATATATACTTTTAGATGTGCTTTTGCTTGATATATCCTTTTATATATTTAATAGGATTTAAAGGGTGGATGCTGCTTCAACGGAGTTTTGCAGGGCAGCACATCCTTTCATACAGACTTATCTATGTACATTTTACATTTTATATACTTATTTGTGTTATATACATATTTAGGTACGCAAATTCTATATTTACACGTTTATATATTTGTAGAGATACTTTTATCCACAGATTTATATCCTTTCATAGTTTTAAGAGGAGGGATGCTGAGATGGCAAAAAACACTCTCTCAAGTAAATTTAGAGGCCAGATAGACCAAGAAAATTATTTTAAAGTTTTCTCTGAAAAAGGAAGAGGGGGGAAATACCGTTTCTATTAAAATGGGGTGCTGGTGTATAAAGGGCATTACTTTTAATTTTAAAAAGCAGGATTTAAGTTGTGCTCGTGCTGGGACGGGATGAGAGTGCAACGGGAGAGTTCCAGAAATGGAACGGCGAAGGGTAATATGGGTTATTAGAATGATAATGCATTAATAATATGCGACCGAGGGATTTATACAGCTACGGGATTTAAAATAAAAAGGAGAAAGAGTTAAGTTATTCAAGGCTTTTACACTGAACAGGTTGTGGGGCGTATGAGGGAGCGAGGGCAGCTCGGCCGCTCTATCTTGAGCAGCGGGGCCGGGGCTGTGAGGGACCGGCCATGGCGGCCCCGCTCCCCTCAGGATCCCGGGCCGTGAGGGACCGGCCATGGCGGCCCCGCTCCCCTCAGGATCCCGGGCTGTGAGGGACCGGCCATGGCGGCCCCGCTCCCCCTCAGGAGCCCGGGCTGTGAGGGACCGGCCATGGCTGTTCCGCTCCCCCTCAGGAGCCCGGGCTGTGAGGGACCGGCCATGGCTGTTCCGCTCCCCCTCAGGATCCCGGGCTGTGAGGGACCGGCCATGGCGGCCCCGCGCGCGCGCGCGCTCCCCTCAGCGCCGCCGTTGCGCGCGCGCGGGAATCGGAGCGGGCCGTTACGCGCCTGCCGAAGCGCGCGCGCGGGGCGCTGGAAGAGGGGCGGAGCCCGGAGGGGGGGGCGGTGACAGCCAATCGCGAGCCGGGGAGAAGGCGGGGCTGGGGTGTGGTCGCAGCCAATCGGAGAGCGGCGCTGGAAGGGGCGGGAAATTCAAACGGGGGGGGCGCGGGCGGGGTTGGGGACCCTGAGGGACAATGTCGGGGTCCCCCGAGGAGCTCGGGTCCCTCAGGGTCAATGCCGGGGTCCCCCGAGGAGTTCAGGTCCCTCAGGGTCAATGTCGGGGTCCCCTGAGGAGCTCGGGTCCCTCAGGGTCAATGTCGGGGTCACCTGAGGAGCTCGGGTCCCTCAGGGTCAATGTCGGGGTGCCCTCAGGGGCTCGGGTCCCTCAGGGTCAATGTCGGGGTCCCCTGAGGAGTTCGGGTCCCTCAGGGTCAATGTCGGGGTCCCCTGAGGAGCTCGGGTCCCTCAGGGTCAATGTCGGGGTCCCCTGAGGGGCTCGGGTCCCCTCAGAGTCAGTCAGTGTTCCCTCAGGGGCTCCCGCTGCCGGGTTCGGATCCCTCAGGGTCCGTGCTCGGCTCCCTCAGGGCTCGGCTCCCTCAGGGCTCGGCTCCCTCCGCGGTGTCTGTCCTGCCCCGGTCCCCGTGGCTCCCAGACCGGTTCTAATGCGATTTTTCCACCCTTTTGTCTCGCCCCGCTCCGTGCAGGGTCACCAATGGTGGCAAAACCACCCTGACCAACAGGCTCGTCAAGGCGCTCCCCAACTGCTGCGTGGTCCATCAGGATGATTTCTTCAAGGTGAGTCTCCTCTTCCTTGCGGTGTTGATTTTACATGCAGGGCAATGCAGTTTTGGCAGCTTAGGAGCCACAAGCTTTATGGGTTTGTGGGGCTTTTTATGTATATATATATATATGTATTTGATTTTTAAATGACTGGGCAGGTGGGAAGTTCCTGACCTTTACAAATGCCACAGGAGCCTTTAAGTGTTAACAACAGATTTAAATTTAGTACTGATTTCAGTCAGAGGTTATTTACTCTGCTCTGCATGAATGATTTTCTCCATATTGGGATTTCCCACGTTATTTTATTAAATTAAGAATGAGACTGCTAAATGATGCTTTAGGATTTAAGCACCTCTATGCTGGCTTAAATATGGAAGGGGGGTTTTATGGGGGAACTTTGATAGATCTGTATGAGAACCCAGTTAAAATATTGCAGAGATGAATGCAGAAGAGTTTCAGTGCCTTCTGCCTGGGAGTGCAGAGTGTTCCTAAACCCTGCACGTTTCATGGGAATGATGATATCCCTGGGCCCCACCACACGTGGAAGTCCAAGAGATGCAGGAATGGACTTGGAGCAGTTGGGGGTCATCCCCAGAACATGAAGTGCTCCAGCCGCAGCATCGTGTGCTCAGTCTTTGATCACTTAGGAGCCCTTGGGGGAGGCATTGTTTGATTGTCCATAAAAATCTGTGACTTCTCTTTTGAGTGAATGCCCACATGAGGAAAGCAGTAACTGAGCAACCAAAGTGCTGCTATACCCACCTGCATGTTTATTAGAGGAGTTCAAATACCTATTCTATTAAAAAAACCACATTCTAGCACTTATTTGACTGCATCCACACTTTAAAATCCCTATATGTCAATTTACAAACCACACCCTGTAGCATTTCACCAACTAACAACCAACGTATCGAGTGATTAACGTAAAAACCTTTATCCAGAGCGGTTTGAGTGAGCCAAGGGAGCTTCCCAGAGCTGCTGGGGCTGGGGCAGGCCGGGAGAGTGAAGGTCCTGCAGCCCAGCTGGGGCTGGTGCAGTGCCCAGGGGTGGAGCGTGGTGCAGTGGTGGCCAGGCGCTGGCGGCAGCGGAGGGAACTGATCCCGCTGAGGTTGCAGCAATGTTTTATTGCTCACTATATTTCAGCCACAAGATCAAATAGAAGTCGGGGAAGACGGCTTTAAGCAATGGGATGGTAAGAGCAGTGTTCCCTATAGGATGCAGTAATGTATATTCTTTTTCCTAAGTATTTATTTTTTCGTTATTAAAAGATTTAACAGTAAATTTCCATAACTGTAACTTTACCAAGCTCGATCTATTTTACACTTTGGAGCCCGTGGTGTTTGCTGGTGTTTGATGGTGTCCCTTTTTCCCACCCACCCCCTTTCTCCTGACTAGTGTTGGATTCCCTGGATATGGAGGCAATGGTGAGCACAGTGCGGGCCTGGATTGAGAACCCAGTGAAGTTTGCCCGTTCGCACGGGGTGAACGTCACACCTGGCTCTAGAGAGCCAGCCTCCCAAGATATCCATATATTGGTCATTGAAGGCTTCCTGCTTTATAATTACAAGTAAGGTTTGGAGAACTCTTCATGGTTTGCCAGGGAAGATCCTTAAACCCTCGTGCCAGAGCTAAAATCTCCTTTTTACTAATTTCCCCTTCCTGCCTTGCTGTGAATTCTCACCCCGGAGAGTTTCCTGCTGGAAAATGTAAAATTAACTCCTAAATGTAGAAGTGAGGTGAATTTAAGGTTCTGATTTAGGACCCAGCCTTGCACTCCAGGGGAGTTTCAGAGCAGGATTTTTGCTGGCAGAGGGGTGCAGGCTTCCCCTCAGCT